CTTCGATAGAAAGACATTCAAGGATGTTTTCTTGTGTCATCAATACCCTGTCCGTGATTCTAATATAGTTTATTGTCATTATTATTACTGTTGACTTTATGGGTCAAAGTTGTTATTGATGTCAAATATTATTCTTCTAGACTATCCTTTGGTAAGAGTTTTACGGCGCTTGCAACTACGTAAGGTGGTACAAGGGCGCTGGACACACTTTCGTCTTTCTTTGCATCTCTCGACACGTAATATATTATCTTTGTATTGTCTAGCTATATATTTAAATATGAACCTTTTGTGAGTCTCAAGATATGAATTATTTAGTTTTCTGATTCTGTAATGACAACACTTTTCTGTCTGCTATTTCGGTTGCTAAAATTTAAAATGTACATAAACGCGAAAAACCCGTCAAAAATTAAAGTTTGGCATAAAAGTTTCCTTTTGTTAGTCGTTGTACTTTGCAACTTTAGTTTTACATATAACCTTCGTTGAGGCTGATATACAATCGATGTACATCGGGAAGGGATGGCAAATAGTAATGAACAAATCGTGTCGAGGGGTGTTCGATGTCGGTCAAAATGTTGACCACACGAAGACTCGGAGACTGCCCTCTCAGGATGAAATCCTCCTTAATCAATATTGGCGTGGTCCTGCCTATCTCTCCAGCCCAAATCGGCTCGGACCGGCCGGTAAGCAAATGAAAAGCCAATTTTTGGACTAATAGGCAGACAGTCGACAATTTCCCGCCTTTCCCTGGTTGGCTCGGAATAATACGCAGCAGTAAGCCCACTGTAGCCGTTTGGTTCCTTGGTGAGGGAAGGGAGGGGGGGGTGTGAATAGATGAGTGGGTGGGGGGGAGGGGTTGGGTCCATCTTGAAAGGGGTAGTAAGTACATTGTCACGTCACTTTAAGTTTTGTCTTGCTTTAGTCCTAAGGAGAGCAGAGTTACGTTTGGGAAATTTGTTTTGTGAAATGACGTCGGCGCAAACGCGGCTTTCAGTACTGGAGACAGAAAAAACGCATGAGTATGGTGGTAGATCATGATTTATCGAACTTGTGAAATTGCCAAGTTGTTATCACGGATGATAATGTGTGTGTGTGTGTGTGTGTGTGTGTGTGTGTGT